CTTGCTCAATCTGGGACTGGTCGGCTCTAGGGACCCTCCCCGCGAGGATTGTGCACAAAGCAGCATCCAAGCATTCTGCAGGCGAGCTGCCCATGGAAAAAGTGCGTAATTGCAAATCTCGCTCAGGTGCACACAGCACATGTATACATACATGCATCCATACATCTTTGCAGGAACTTCGGTGGAGGCACCGAAGCCGCCGGCACCCCCAGCTCCGAGCCGCAGTTGGGGCCACTGGCAGGAGGCCGTTCTTGGAAACAAGTTATGACGATTTTGGGGTAGCGTAGTGGCTGTATACTGTTCATTGCTTCCTCGTTGCCAGGATTTGGGGGGGCTTCTTTTGTGATCTTGGAGACTCGGAGGTATATGCGAGGGTCTCAGTGGAAAGCCTCCTCGGTTTGGGGTTTCAGAAACCATGATATTTTTTTTGAGACACCTTGCATAGCTTTGCTAGGCTTTGTTTGCGCAGTCTGAATTCGGTCTGGGTGTGAGGGTTCTTCGTCATTTGCCCAAACTACCAGCGTTCTCAGCTACTGCTACTGAAAGCTACTATGGAGATTTCATGACAATAGCAGAAGAAGCAAGAGGATGCCTCTGTAGCGGAAGTGGGAGGCAACACATCTTTGGTCCGACACAAGGCTGAGCTGCCGTCCATGTCGCGATGCCTAACGGTAGTCCTGATAATATAGGGGATTGAATAATTAACAGAAGAAAACAGAACCATTCCTGAGGGTTCCTTGTTATGTAATGACAAAACTGGACACCGAAACCCCATCATGGGCTGTTGCTGTACGGGGGCAGTACCCAACGAATAGATGCTTGGAAGGGCTGGATCGAGCCGGCCCGGCCGAATGTGGACCTCGGCCGTCTGTTGCGAAACTCAGCCTCTGGGACTGTATGATGTATGTATGTATGTATGTATGTATGTATGTACGTACGTACGTACGTACGTACGTATGCATGCATACATGTACGCATGTATGTATGTATGTATGTATGTATGTATGTACAAATAAATAAATAAATAAATATACACACATGCATAATATGTATGTATGTGGATGTGGTACACACATATACATATATATATATATGGTACAACTAGATATGCATACATACACATGTATGTATGTATGTATGTATGTATAAATATATGTATATATGTATATATGTATATATACACGTTCAAAACCACATAAGATATGTAGTATGCACAATAGAAGCTGTATATCTGAAATGTAAGTATATGTGTGTATATATCTACATATATATATATATAGATATGTACTTATTTATCATGCATATATATATATATAGCATGCTTGCAGCAGCAAGCCATCTCGATTCGAAGCAAACAGCCGTAAGCTGCGACCTAAAGCGGTTTGTCCTGCTGTAAGCTGTCCCCTGAACTTGTTTGTCCTGCTGCCGATCGCAGTCAGACAGAACTGAAGGCGTGCACTTGTTGTTCGCCTGCTCTAGAATCCCTGTTCATGTTCTTCATGCCTATATGGGTTGTGCATAATCTTGGTGAATAAGGGCTCCCTAGCGTGAAGCGTTGTTGAAGGGATGCTGTGTAATGAATAGCACGGTTTCAGTTTGAAGCCGATTACTTCTACATCGCAGTGTTCCCTGCTTTTCATGCTATAACGGTAACCATGAAAACATCAGTGATGCCAGCAGCGAGCAGTTCAAAGGTAGTAATGCCCCACTGACAGACTAGGCTGCAGGCCTCAAGGTCAGAAGTGTTCTAACCCTAGCTCTGAGATCCTGTTCCCTAAACCCTAAGCCCGAAGCCCTCAACCCCAGAAGCTCCTAAACATCAAACCCAAGCCGCGGAGAACTCGAGGGCACATCAGTTGCCAAGGTCAGCGAGGGCCAGGAGGGCCAGGGCCCTGAGCCACCAGAGTGGTGCCCATTCTAGGGTTTAGGGTTTAAGGTTTAGGGGTTTAGGGTTTAGGGCACTATGCTTGGGCAAATCTTTGGGTTGGGGCTCTTCCCAGAACCTTCAACGAGAAATACTCCGGAAACGTCGAAGATACGAGCATGTGAAGAGGAATCGTGGCAATGCTAGCTTCAACCATAATACAGGACCATGCAGAGGGATCAGACGTTTCAGGAAGGTTGCAAGCAGAGAACGAGTAGAGTCCGGATGAAGCAGAAACAACTGTCGTTCTGATGCTTCAACCACTGGATATCTGCAACAGCCTAGTGAGAGTAGGAATAGTGTATTGGTGGTGGTAGTAGTAGTAGTAGTAGTAGTAATAGTAGTAGTAGTAGTAGTAGTAGTAGTAGTAGTAGTATTAGTAGTATTAGTAGTGGTGGTGGTAGTGGTAGT